CACACAGTCCTGCGTTACATTCCTTGAACTCGTAATAACTCATTTGCCGTTTTGGAGGATTTTTCCGTGAATGTGAACAAACGAAGCATCGTCGTCTCATTTTCTTATCAGTCTCTTCTGAACAAAGTTTTGGAAAATATCTTTCAGTTAATCTTTCAGAATCAATATCTGAAATATTTTGCATCATTTCTGCTATCTCATGCTCTGTTAAACATTTTCGACACTTCGACATTGAAACAGTAAAAACAGAAAGAATTCACGTCTAACAAGATCTAATTATTTTCTAAAAACTGAACTGTAAACCGAAATACTCAAAGCTTTAGCGCATATAAAACTTCTACTAACAATAAACAACTACCACGTGCGATTTAAAGAGACGTCATAAATCACGCCATTCGGAAACATTTAGTTCCCCGTTTGTTTATATAATCAAAAACACGTGTATGTGAGTCATGCTTCTTTCATTTCGAGTAGAAGGTCTAATGTACATGTATCTGAAACCATATGGACATACAGTGCCATCTTGTGGCAGAAATTATAGTTTGAAAAACGTTCCAGGGTACTGGCACAAATACGTGACAGTCGGTAGAGAATGCAACAATGGTCTGGCACGCCTGCATGTCGGCCGGTAGGTAAGTGTGTTCGTTTTTGGCATGTATACGTGACAGTCGGCGCGAAGGGGTTAAAGGACTTAACAATTACTTCAGCCTTTATGTCTTCCCAAGGTCTTTTTACCCACTAGCACACTTGTGAAATAGAGGGCTGCTTCATTTTACCTGAGCACGTGATGTGGCTCTCCTATCAGCTATCTGGGTTTTTAATTCTCTCGCTTTATTCTTTATAATTTTAGTTCTATGGGTGCTAAACTGATATCCAAAACCAAAAGAGAGGGTTTTTTTTAAGAGTCCACCAGGTCGCCTCGCCCATACGTTCTGTAACCACAGTTTCATTCCATCTTCGTCCATCCAACCTTCTGGACGAACATGAACAATTACACCTGTTGAAGTTTTTCTTTTGAATATGAAAAACGGCAGTAGTTTTGTGCCATCAGCACAACATGTTAGAACTACCGTATATTGGGTTTTTTCATGACCTATGGTTTTTATGGTTATTGATTTAGACCCTTTAATACTCACAGTCTTGTTGAATAGTACATCAAATGTGAGTGGAATTTCATCCCTATTTCCTATTTGACCGAGCTCAAAAAACGTTTTCTTGCATGCATTTATAACAAACCTATGAAATGCTAGTATTTTTTCTTCATAATCTGCTGGCATTTTCTGTGCAATAGTTGTTTTCGTGTGATAAGCCTTGCCTTTTCATGAACCTGTAGCACCAGCCGTCAGCCCCTGAAAAGTTCTGATTCCCATGTTTTTCTGCAAATCCTTTCGCCTCAATGATTATCATTTTAGTTGAAACACTTATCCCAGATTTCCTCTTATCTATCGCTCACATTTTTACAGCGTTCGGGCCAAGATGGAGCTGGGCATCGAAGGTTATATTTTTGTTTTTTAGCAGTCTTCAGTTGATCTTCCTGCAGTCGCCAAGTACGTATCATTTTTTCGGTAGGCAGTGGACCGAAATGCCTTGCTGCTGCTCTGTTTCCATGCACTTTGGCGTAGTTTCACACTCCTAGTTTATACTGAATAGTATAGCTTAATATCTTGTTTTCTGTAGTCATATTTTCCAAGGTATTTTTTTAAGCAAATAGTTTTAAGCACCGATATCGACACGTTTATACAGAGTAGCACCAATACCGACACGTGTGTCGACCGAGTTAAAGAAAGTCTATGTAAAAAAGGAGAGGCTCCATAGATGTAATGTGACCGTCAAACCTGTTCGAACTTCGACATCAGCTTTGAGGCTTTTCGGCAACAGATATTTCACGCATGCGCAAAATAATTATGACAGATGTAGAAAAAGTTATGTGTGTATAGACTTTTATCCGGGCTAAAAATAATTATTCTGTTTTACGTTTTATCTTGTACTTTAAACCATATGATTTTAATGATTTTTTTTCATGATTATGTATTTATGTAACATTAAGGTATCTGATTGCTAATGTTATGTAGACAATATCAGTGTCATTCACTTTTATTACATAGGAAAAGTATCTTTGTAATATCTCAGTAAGATATTAGAAATGAGAGAGCATTATTGCTGCTCAGCGTGTTAACCATGTTAGCTGGTGAGCATTCACAGCTACTATTAGTGCCTCTTGGGTTTGAATTTATTTTTGTAATTTATAATTTTGGTAACTTTTAGAGAGGAATTGTTGCTGAGTCTTGTTAATATTTTTAAATATTCATCTGTGTTCTTCTCTTATCAGGACCATAATCAAAATTGTATATGAACATGTATGTGCATAGTTATATATACATACTGCATGCATACATACACACACACATATATATATATACACACACATACATGCATGAATACGTATATACATTTGTGAAGCCAGTCCCAATAACAGAATAGTACATAGTCATCTGCTATTTTTTCACAAAAATTGAAGGCCTTCGATAGTTTATGCTCGAATTGAAATTTTGTTTTGTATCAGTGTGCTTATCCAACTGCAGCTTGTACTGTATTATAAGTAATATATAATGAAACTTTTCTAAGGACTACATTTTATAGACATTTACCTTTTGAAAGTGATATATATTTCAATAATGTAAGTAAAAATTGATATTGTGTATCATATATGTAAATCCTGCAGAAATGATGTAGTAATTAACGGAGCCTACTGTGATACTGAAAGGCCTGGGTTTGAATCCCAGAGAAGGCATAGTAGTAACTGTCTGTCTCTTTGGAGGAGGCAATAGTAGCCTATTAAGTGCCTCCACAATAAAATGGCAACCAGATATGGCCTTGGGTGTTGCCAATGCTGAATAGGCAAGTGCCCTACGATTGGACAGGGTTCGTAGCGGTCCTTATTATTGCTTATAAATCCTTATATTTGAAAATAAAATATAAAAGCCCTTATAGGTGCTTACTTTTTCTTTAAAGCCCTTATTTTTTTGTTTTTAGTGCTTATTTTTTGCTTTTAGTGCTTTTTTTTTTTTAATGAATGCGCTATTTTTCCCCGTACCAAAGCCGAAACTAAATAAACAACTTAATATGGAATGTCGGATGGTGAATCATACTCCCGGAAATAGCTTTTCCCCTTTCTTTCCATTAACATAACCTTTGGTGTGCGCGAACAGTACAGACAGGTGCCCGTCGTTCTATTGGTCAAAGAATTGTGAAAGCAGTAGAAAATTCCGGTACATTCGGCATTCTTTTCCTCCCACCCAAATACTACACACGTTTGAATTTCTATCAAGATCTTAATAATTTTCATTCTCGTTCCGCTTGGTCAGTTCATATTCATGTTTATTATGATTGTTATGCTTATATTATGAGCATATGTATGAATGTTTATAATAACATATTTGCACTAACTGCTGAAGTATAGTAAACTTTCAAAAAATGGTTGTGTTTTAACAAAGATTAGCTTTCTAAGGAATAATATTCGGAATGGCTTAAATAAAGGGAAAGTAATCGAATAGTCAAAATAATTTTGTTTTTTTGGACAATACATTATACAGTATGAAGATTGGGATATTCTCCCCTTTTTCCGCAAAATCTCGAATATTAAAACTGTTACAGTTTGCTGCAAAACAAGCAACAGACCTTTTTGTGTGTGTGTGTCACTTTCCAATCTGGATTGAATAGGACTAAAAGTTCTGCGGTCTACCAACCCAAGCAAAGAATGATTGTATTCCGGAAATTTAACGCCGTCTGTTGAAAATTAGAATGAAAAACACCCCAGTTATTTAGTTCTTTATTCTCCCAATACCGGTAGCTGTTGATTCCGATTGCGTAATATCACGTAGGGAAGAATTGCGGCGCATGTATTGCGCAACAACATTTGTGATATTTCGCAGAGATAATTAATTTTGATGTTCTGTCCGAGATTTGTTTATGAACACTTAAAAGAGTTTTACTGTGTTTGCTAAGCAGAATATTTTTCAGTTCCATTGGTCTATTTTTATATGATGCACATATCGAAATGTCAAAATCATTTATTTAGCCGAGAAATGTAAAGAACGGCTACAATCTCCCCCCCCCCTCCTCTTTTTCCAGTTACGCTCGACGGAATATTCGGCAATTTCCGAATATGCAGGTTAGTTAAGCTTTTACTGTTAAAGAACGACTGCATGAAGCAATTTCCGATCTCCTGATTTCAGAAATGTTCCTCTTTTTTACTTAAATTACTTTGCTTGGAATATATGTTAAGGAAAAACTGTTATGCAATGAAAATTTAGAAAATGTTCAGAATTTTGATTTAAGTTAAATTATTTAAATATTAATATGAGTGGAAAAATAAATTCTATTTATTATTAGGTGCCAGGCGAATGCAATTAATATGGCTTATTATTATTTATTTTCTATATTTTTAACTGAAATTTCATCATTAAATCTTGTAATATAGTTTAGTTCTGCATAGTTTTTTTTTTTTTTTTTCGCTCTTATTCTAAACTAATTCTGTAAATTGAACTGTCATTTAAAATTTAAAAAAAAAAAAGTTAATTGCTTTCCATGGTTGAGGTAATGCTCATTCTCTTAATAAATATTGCATTGCTTATATTTTAAATTATAAGTCTAATTTTTCTTTAAAGGTTATGCAGTTGTGTATATTGTAATTAGACAGGTGCTTATTTTTTTAACCAAAATGTGGCTATGAACCCTGTTTCTTTATCGAGTACCTAATTATTGCACTAAATTACATATATTCACGTTTCTAAAAATCTTCACAATGGATTTGAGAACTTCAAAATTAATCAAAAATGTAGTGTTATAGATCCAGAAGACTATTGACCATATATGTAACAACTTAATTTAACAAAGGGACCTTGTTTGACATTTCCATGCTAAGAATCATGAAATTATTTTGCACTTAGCTAATGAATAAGTATCAAAGTTTCTGTGTAATTTCCTTAACGTATTATTAGTTATATTGTTCAGTGTCTAATGGAAACAGACCTTTATAAACTTTTAAAGACACAAAAACTTGGAAATGATCATATCTGTTATTTTTTATACCAGATTTTGAGAGGTTTAAAATACATTCACTCTGCAAATGTATTACATCGAGATTTGAAGCCTAGTAATTTGTTGTTGAACACAACATGTGACTTAAAGGTGAGAATTCTTTATAAAATGTTTATAATTATGTGTATTAATGCATATCATTGTTCTTAATGTAATATTTCTGATTTAAATTTGATATTTTTAAGTTTTTTTAATGTACATATTACATTATAAATCAGATTTTCATTTCAACATGCTTCGATTATTTTGCATAATTTAAAAAATAACATTCAAAGTATATATTATTTATAAATTGGCTTTCTAAAAACCATATTCAGTGGTAACATTTAAAAAAAATTTTTAAAATTGCCTAAATACTTTTGTACAATATTAACAATTCATTTTCTTGAATTGATGATTAAAAACATTTGTTTAGCTAATATAAGTAAGTTTGAAATTGTAAACATAACTGCTTTGAATTATATTTAAATGATAAAAAGAACTGCTAGTGATTTTCTGCTTAAATACTGATAATAACTATGAATTAGAAACATACGTTTTTATTGTGATTTGATTGCATCTATTTATGTACATTGTGATAAAATTTGTAATGCATCATTTAAAATGCATTTTGAGCATTTGAACTCCTTTAAAAAGAAATGGTGATTTTAAACATAATAAATTAGATATTTTTGAAGACAATCTAAATCAGAATGTGAAATTTAGTCCTGATTTATAATATTAACATGAAGGTTAAATAAAAAGAATGGCTGTTGAAAATTGCAAGACCATATTCAGTTACATTATTGACAGCTGCATCTGTATTTTGTTTTGTTTCTAAAGGGATTTTAATTAAAAATATACTGGCTATAGATAGTTCTGAGTCATGTTAAGATTTTTGCTCAGCATAAAGAAAGAATGCTGCGTCTTCAAATTTCTTAAATAGAGCTGTAATCACTTGAAAGTAGGTGTACTAGTCATTGCAATATAAATAACAATTTACAAGATTAGTTTCAAAGAAACGAAAACGGCCATACATAAGAATATGAAAAATCATTTTTATAGCTATGAGAAACTGGAAAGTGACAATGCAATCACTGTTTCTTTCAAGTTATATACATCAGGCTGGGGGGGAAAAAAAAAAATGAAAGCATACAAAATTAAACTGAAGTAGTTCATTAACAAAGGCTATGTTGACATGTATTAAGATAAAAAAGATATATTGTAGATCAATCTAATAAAATAAATGGAGTTAACCACCATTTTCTTACACCTAACAAAGGATGGTATTTTTCTGTTATCAGGACAAGATTAAAAAATGTATATACAGATTTATATGTTCATGTGTGATTGCATATATGTGTAATATCATGCATTTCTGATTCTGGTCCTGATAACAGAAAAGTATACATATTGTAATGTTTAAACCATAAAACGTTGTGCTGCTGTTATAATTTAAAATTGAATCTCAGTTATAATTTCCCCGCTAAAGGCACACAACATTTTAAAGGCATAATGAAAACCGAAGAGAAAAAGTCAAGATTAAATTAAATACAAACATACAGCCTACTAAAACAATGCAGAGGTTTACTAAACGTGTTCTCTTATGTCCAAGAATGAAATTTCCCTAATTTGCTAATGCCCTCATTAAGAGGGCCTTTGTTTGATGGATGGAACTATCTTTTGCACCCCTATAGAGATAGTCAACAGTCTGTTTACAGTCTAATGCTAAACTTCTGGCTTTCAGTAGGGAGGCTTCTGTTTAAGAATGTGTTGCCTTGTGTCACATTAACTCATTGTACAGTCAAAAGTCGTTAATTCGGACACCCATAATCCGGAATGATCTATAATCCGGACCTCAAAGCTAAAAACTTTCTGCGCATGCGCCGCGTTGGCACATGCGAACAGGCTTTTTTACGCGTGCGCGTAAGACCTTGACTACTGCGCATATGCATGTGCGCAAGTGCAGAATACGTTTTCGCATGCGCGTTTAATGTATAACGGACGGTGTAAGCTAAAATTATCTATTTCAGTTAATGTTAATGATTGCGTTGCTCCTTAATCTTCGAATTGGATCCCGCTTATTATTTTTTGCAGACTGTAAGAGCAATTTTATAAAAGTAAACTTGAACTTTCGGTTATGTCAAATAGAATTTCCGATGCTGGAACTTCCAAAGGATCTACAAAACGAAAGTATGTTTCGATGTCCAACAAACAAAAAGTGGAATTGCTGCAAAAAATGGATACAGACATGAAGAATGTGACAGAGAGATTAGTGAAAACGAAAAAAATTTCAATTGACAAGTTAGTCGGTATACTCGGCACAGCAATTAACGGGACTTGAACAGCGGAACTTTGTAACTGAACAAGAAATTATGTCTGTTTGTAGAATTAAAGAGAATGTATTATCACATAAAATGAAGCAACTTAAATAACTTACATTGAAAGAAATGTTTAATAAAGTAAACAAATAAATATTAAGCTCTTTTTTTGTAAATTTTGATACCCTTTAGATCATAATTGTTCTTTATTTCATAAATTACGGTTTCATATTTTTAAGTTTAGAATTTCTGCATGCCATCTTACGAGATTTAAACTGATCATCTATAATCCGGAAAAATCGATAATCCGGAATCGCCGAAGTCCCGACGAGTCCGGATTAACGACTTTTGACTGTAATTGATATTTGCCAAATTAATTTAAGTACCTGCCCATTAAAAAATTTGAAGGGAAATATCCTAATAAACTGAGATTTAATGTGCAAAGAAGATGAATTTCATTAAAAGAGGGAAGAAATTTTCTGTATTCTTTATTATTTTTGTATGCTTGTACATGAGAGTTCTTATGAATCCCCCCCCACACACACACACACTTTATTTACAAAACATAATTTTTTGATTTCGCACCTCCCTCACTTTGACATGTAGAAAAACGTTGACGTTTAATTCTATATAAAATGTTTTTAATTCATTATGGAATTGTTAAAATAATATGTTGTTATATTTGAAATGGGTATTACTTTTCAGATACTGAAAATATGAATTTATTTAAGGTACAGGAATACTTTTGCACTATGTCATCTGAAATGGTTTCAGATTAATACACTGTTAACAATTCTTACATTAATTTTTGTTTACCTATTATATACTGGATTTCTTTAAAAGGCATTTTATCTATTTAAATAGAATCACCTTAAAAGAGATCTTAGAATAAAACAGTCTTTACATTAAAGCCTGATTCTCAGGTAAAGTGGAAAAGTGTCTCAAAATACAGAGTGTTTGTAAAGTCTCTATACATTTTTGAGAAACGCGTTCTAATTCCAATTTCTTTGGAGGCAATCTGAAAGAATGCTATCAACAGAGGAAAGAATAGCCATTGTTTGTTCCCGTAGACATCGATTAACGTATCAAAAGGTGCAGAAGGACTTTGCCCGCAAATTCAGAAAACAAGCCCCTATCAAAGCAGGTATTAAAATCTTAATTAAAAAAATTCAAGTGAAGTGGTAGTGTTAAAGATGACTGTTCTGGGAGACCTTCGATAATACCACAAGTTGAGCAAAGTGTACAAGAAGTGATTAAGTGTAGCTTGCAGGAATTGGATATCACATTCAAACTGTGCATAAGCTTGAAGCCGAGGACTATGCAGCTCAGCAGGTCGTGTTATGATTTGTTGGAAGCTGTAGATAATGAGAACTTAATGGAGAATGTTCTCTTTAGCAACGAAAGCACATTCCATCTCAGTGGCCATGTTAATAGGCATAATTGCCAAATGAGGGCTGATGAACAATCAAATGGGTTATACGAATTTCAGGGAACCACACCTAAAGTTAATGTATGGATTGGAATAATTAAGTCTAAACTCTGTGGACTTTTCATGTGTGCAGAAAGGACCATCACTGGAGAAATTAATATTGATATGCAACAATATCTTGAGCCACAGGTAGTATCAGATGGCATTATTGATACTGTTGTCTACCAACAGGATGGGGCACCTTTCCATTTTGCCATTACAGTACAAAGTCTGAAATCCGAACTCATTGGGACTTTGGCGATTACGGATTTGGGATTTTTCTGGATATTAGATCATCAATTTAAATCTGGTAAGATGGCATGCAGCAATTATACAGTTAAAAATATGAAATTGTAATTTATGAAATAAAGAACAATTGTGATCTAAGGGGTATCAAAATTTACAAAAAAAAAAAAAGAAAAAAGAAAGAAAGAAAGAAAAAGAAAAAAAGCTCAATGTTTATTTCTTTACTTTATTAAACATTTCTTTCAGTGTAAGTTGTTTAAGTTGCTTCCTCAAAAAATTCAAAAAGCTCCAATTCCATACTTTTCACATAATTTTGAGATGGATATGCCTTTATCCATTTTTTGCAGCAATTCCACTTTTTGTTTAATGGACATTGAAACGTGGTTTCGCCTTGTAGATCTTTTGGCAGCTCCAGAATTTAAACTCTTTTCAACATAATCGAAAGTTCAAGCCTAGTTTTTATGAAATTGCCATAATAATAACAGTCTGCAAAAAATAATAAGCTGGTTCAAATTAGAAGATTAGGGAGCAGCGCAGTCTGCTACATTAACTGAAATGCCTTAGAATCAGTAAAGATAATTTTAGCCTAGCTTAGTAGTGTCCGTTATACATTATTGGCTGTATATCTCAAGATTGGCGACGAAAGCCAAGTTGTTTTGCTAAATTTTGTCTTGCTCCTATTGTGTACTGAATTAAGCCTGAATTGTATTAGTTTTGTTATTTACTATAACTATGTTTATTTCTTGCGCATGCTCAAAACTGAGTCTTGAATAAATAAACTCCCACATATACTTAAGGCTCTATCTAGGGCAGACACTCAGTACCGCCTGGTGCAGTCTCTACGGGTCCTAAATTCAGCTACAAAGCGCATTCCTAAGTTCTAAACTTTCACTGCGCTTAAATTTTGGAACCCAGTGCTTTTCCCTAAATCATAAAAACTTCTCATCCCTTAATTTTGCCGATCTGTGCTTCCCCAATTAAAAAAAATTTTGTCTTCCCTAAATTCTGCCGTCCGTTGCCAACATATTCTGCCGCCGCTTCTGCGTTTATGGTGAATAACATATCAGTTATTCTTA